TGGACCCTGACCCCGCGGATCTGCGTGAGGGGTGGCACCGAATTTCAGAAATGTGGCAAATCCCAAGTGTTTTTGGACCCTGGCCCCGCGGATCTGCGTGAGGGGTGGCATCGAATTTCAGAAATGTTGCAAACCCCAAATGTTTTTGGACCCTGACCCCGCGGATCTGCGTGAGGGGTGGCACCGAATTTCAGACATGCTGCGAATCCCATGTGTTTTTGGACCCTGACCCCGCGGATCTTCGCGAGGGGTGGCCCCGAATTTCAGAAATGTGGCAAATCCCATGTGTTTTTGGACCCTGACCCCGCGGATCTGCGTGAGGGGTGGCACCGAATTACAGAAATGTAGAAATCCCATGTGTTTTTGGACCCTGACCCCGCGGATCTGCGTGAGGGGTGTCGATTTCGAGCCCCCCCAGCAATTCAGACAACGCGCCCAGTGGGCGCTAGAACATTTGGTTTGGGCTTCCTTTCCCTCGCGCGGTCAATCAACTAGTTGCAGTAACCAGCAAGAAGCAGATCTGTAACACTGGAAACTACAAACTACAACTGGCACAGGAAACTGCGAATCACGGGCCTGCAGCCTGGTGGCCCGACAAGGGGGCCGGCGGATTTCGGGAACAGCGCGGCGGTCAAGCCGGAGATTACTCGCGATCGCGGCAGCGTGCAAGAAGCAATGGGTCATGGCCTCCCTCGCCATCAACATGGCCTTCCTGGAAGGGTTGACCTATCAGGAACTTGCTGAGGCAACTGGTGAAAAGGAACGTGTGGCGCGCGTTACTTTTCCGCCTGGATCGGCCACTGCGCTTCGACCCCCCCCCCCCCCCCCAGGATTCCAACGCTACGACGGTTCAACGCACTGTTTGCAGTGCTTTAGACCAGGCGCTGGCACCACAGACGCACCCCGAGCGTTCTCATTTAAGCTCAGAAGGGCCACGAGAGGTTTTGCATCCAGACCCACGTCCTACGACGAGGAGTTCGAGACGAGCAGCGACCTGCTCACGGCCAAAAATGCTGATGGCATCAATGTGGCCGGCACGGAGGACACCGTTGGCCAGACACGTTGGCCAACGGAGGCATCCAAGATGGTTGCAAACATGTTCGTCAGCATTCGAGACGCGTTGGCGCATGCAGTAATCGCCCAGGCGCGGTTGATGGCGCATGTTGTTTCTCTACAACGTGTCCAAGAAGCGACCAGCGTACAAGTGCGACGACTGAGCGCGATCACCAGGAAACTGCAAGCCTGCCCTAAGAAGATCGTCTACCAGGCGATGACCCCTACGGGCGACGTTGACCTGCACAGCGACACAGGCTACCGACGCCTGAGTGGAGACGCCGATGACGAAGCCAAAGGCCATGGTATTGGCGGGGCAAATCTGCTACGGCGTGGAAGCACGCCATCTGGTACGCCCGTCGTCCACTGGATCGATGCGCACTGCGGGTCTCACCGCTTGCAGGTCCGCTCGAGCTATTCAGCAGAGACACTAGCAGCTGCCCGCCACTTGGAGGACTGTTATCCCACGATCGTGACTCTGCACGAGCTCCACGCAGGGCCAAAAGACATACTTGAGTTGGGTGGCCTGGGCATCGAGGTCGCTTTGACCATCGATGCTGAGTAGTTTTTAAGTCCTTGTCAAGCACAGACTTGAAGAAGCCGACTGGGTGTACCTTTTCAGAACACATCAGGTGGCTACGACAGATGATGGAGCGAGGAATCGTGCACAGTATTCAGTGGTGCGACACCCGCGATATGACTGCGGACGGTCACACCAATGGGGAGCATCGGCAGAGAGATGCTCCTACAGGTCATGGGAGGCACACAGTCCTTCAAACATGACTTACGAGTCATTCTCCCTGTCGGGTTGGCCAGGCATCCCGTTCTGTAGCCGCTTGAGGAGTACCTGTATGCACAGAATAGTGCAGGCAGAGCAACTTGCGTGCGGGCCCACCTTCCTTACGGCCCCGCCCCCTTGCTGCCCTTTTTGTAAATAGTCGCTGATGTACCTTCTGTATAGAAGCGGCGGGTTCACGCCTCGTGCCCCTCCCCCCCGACTCTAAAGTGAGTTGGGCTTTGCGTGTGGGTGGGAACGGGCGTGCATCCGCGGCTGCTTGGCTCAAAGCGGCGGGCCGCCCAGATCTGACTACACTTCAGCGCGAAGTGTACCATTTGCCACCGATAGCAAAACTGCTTGAGATGGCTCGCCTCTTACTACTGGGACTATCGCTACTACGGTACAACAGAGCTGGAATTCGGTTTCGCCTAAGGCGAAGCTGCTGGTTTGGCCCCCCAATCCCTTTCAAACTTTTACACCCATGGGGGGACGGAGGGGCTATTGGTGCGTGTTGTTGGATGGGGATCCCTGCTCGAACGGCCCCCTAGGGCCCGACAGCCCGCACCATTACCCATTAGCCTGTCTTCCGCCATCCGACCCCCCAGGGGTAACTATGGGAATGTGTTGTTCGTTCGTCATCGTGAGGGAGGCCTTTGCGGGGCTCTCCCCGGGCCGTCCAGGCGGGGCCCGAGTGGTCGGCGAATCGCGCCACGTCGCCGATGCATAGGCGCTGCGGAAGGGCAGCGCCAAGGCGCGGGATCACCGCATGCATCGTGTACGCGAGTTGGCTGAAGGCGGCAGTCCTGCGCGCCGCCTTGTGGATCCATCGTGTCGACACGGAGAATCATCCCGCGGACGGGCCTTCGCGCGGTGCTTTTGCGCGCCCTGTGCGGTTCGAGGTACAGTAGAGCGAACCAGAGCTTGCGCCCGAGTTCGGACCGAGAGCGCCGCATCCGCGATGCGGCCATGTTCTGGAATGCCAAAAACGTTGCGCCTTGAAGCCTCAAGACGCAACCGCCAGAGAGAGAGAGAGAGAGAGAGTTGCTAGTCCAACACATCGAACACGGACATCTGTCGTAGTGGTGTTCTATTTCGTATGCTTGGCGACCTAGTCGAGCGCGCCATCGAGGCCGACCGTTTCAGAGGTGGACCGATTGAATCTGTGCATGTCAGCGCGGAGTTCTTCGTGAAGGCCCCCGCGAACGAGCTCTGACGGTTTTCGCCCTTTCTGCCCCTTTCCCCCACCCTCTTTCCCTCCACGCCCCTGCCTGTCCGAGAAGCAATCCATGCAAGACGATCGCACTGCTGCCCGGGTGCCGGAGGCACGGGCCAAGTTTCCCCCCCGAGTTCTAGATTGGCACGGCCTTCGGGCCCATCGGGAGTAGCGTAGCGCGAGGCCTCAGAAGTCCATCGAAGGCAAACAGGGGAGACGGCAAACATCATGGCTGCTCCTCAGCTCCTCAGGCGTTGGAAGGATGTTTCTAGGCCGCCTAGATAGGGTCGGAGCTGATGGGGTCGGAGGATCGCGCCGCATCGCCGATCCATCGGCAAAGCATCGGCGATGCGGCTTGATGTTGGGGCCAATATCCTCCACGCAGACGTCGCGGATGTATTGCCGACGTTGCCAGTGCATGGCCGATGCATGGCGAATACCTCGACGATGCATCGCCGATGTATCGGCGATGCGGCGCGATCCTCCGACCCCATTTATTCCGACCCCATCTAGGAGGCCTGTAATGTTAGCCTCTCGCGGGTGTCTTTGGGGGGCTCTGGGGCCACTTGGAGCCACCTTGAGGTGGTCTTGGGTCATGTTGGGATTTTGGACGCTCGAAGCCCTCACGGGCCCCCCCGTCCAGATCCAGTTCCGGTGGTGTGGGTCCTCGAAGGGAAGTCAGGGATCATAAACCCTTTCCCGCCCGCGCAAGAGCTGATAGGATTTTGCAACGGCGAGGCCCTTAACGGCCGCAAGACCGGCTGCCTGACTTTTAAAGTAGTTTTCCAAGATGTCCAAGGGGAGGTTTTCAAGTGGCCCAGCCGAGGTTTCCTGACGTTCTCAGAAAGGCCAAAGTCAGCTGCATATGTTATATATATATAGAGATATGTATATACAAGCACACAAGTGTTCCCCGAGACAGAAGCTCGTCCACTCCTCTGCCGTCCTCGACTTCTGCTCGACCCCGTGTGTGCCCTCCTCCGTGCCGTGTGCGATCGAGGCGAGGGCCCCGCGTTCGAAAGCGCAGGAGGAGGTGCAGGGAGGAGTAGCAGAGGCCGTCCACGAATTCCACAGAGCGGGATGTGGGGGGCTTTCTTTTTGGCATTTCTGCCACGAATGTGGCCGTTTCGCAACAACGGATTTCAGACACCTCCTCTAGCCTTGTCTTGGGGGCACGCCCAAAGGCTGAGAGAACCTGGCCAGGATTGACAGGGGGCTCTGCCCAAGACGGGAGGGAGCCCCCAAGGCGGTAAACGAGGCGGCTCGGCAGGAGGTGGAGGCCGAAGCGATCCAGCTTGCTGAGGATCGTAGGGAGCTGCTCGAAGGGGGGGGGGTCCTGAGGAGGCGCCAGGCTCTGGGAATCTGCGAACGCGGTCGGACCGAATCCTGGGCCAGACAGCAGTGATTTTGTCAGTGTGTCTCGGGTTGCGCCTCTGGACTCAGAGGAGGAGGCAGCCGACTGGCTTCTCGGGGACAGGACGTCCCCATAATTTCACGTCGTAGAGTCCCCCAGCAGCGTCGATCGTTGGCGTCAGTTCTCGGTCGGGGCTTCTCAGGGTGAGCTCGCAGTGGAACCGCTCATTTAAAATCCTCTGCTAGAATCCTCCTCCTCCTCCTCCTCCTGTTCCTCCTCCTGTTCCTCCTCCTCCTCCTCCTCCTCCTCTCCCTCCTCCTCCTCCCTCCTGTTCCTCCTCCCCCCGAAAAGCTGCCCAGTGACAGCACCTACGCCCAGAGGGATGGTGACATTAAATTACAGCGAGTGCCGCGGCAGACTCCGCAAGGAGTAGGAGGGGGAAGAGAAGGAGGAGGAGGCGGAGGAAGAGGAAGAGGAGGAAGATGAGTAAGAAGAAAAGGAGGAAGAGGAGGAGGAGGAGGAAGAAGAAAAGGAGGAAGAGGAGGAAGAGGAGGAGGAGGGGGAGGAGGATATTGGGGAGATCGGACTGAGCGTTGTGGCAGACCCTGCAGCAGATGATCGAGCAGCAGCGGCTGCAGCTACTCCAGACAGAGAATCAGCTGTGCGTTCGAGGCATCGAGGACTTGTGCGGCTTGCGCATTCCGTCTGGGAAGCGTTGCGCGCTGCTTGGATTTGCAACGCAGGAGTTTGTTTGTGGGAGTTGATGTGGCAAGCAGATGCCAGATTGTGAATACATCGCCCACTGTCAGGGTTCAGTTCATGGGAGGATGGGTTCAACACCGGTCCAGCCCAATCTGGCTCCCAATCTGGCACAATTCATTCTCTGGGCAGCACACTCCCCGGCCTCTGGTGTGGCTCTGCATGTGCAGTCGAGACCCCGAAAGTCGGACTAGTTTGGATTCGGTAGGGTCGGACGGGGTTGGGACAAGGATAATACAATTCCAGAGCGCTCCGGAACGCGTTAAGAGCGTTTCGGAACGCTTTGAGAACGCCGCGGCGCCGCGGCGCTTTGAGAACGCCGCGGCGCCCGGGATCTCAGAGATTCTCGATTCATTCGTACCCCATTTGATCCTCGCATTGGTTTCGACTTGGTGGGGATCTTGTTTTCGGGCCGTTCCTTAGATCAGGGTCGGGGGACCTTGGAGGCACCTTGGGCCAGGGACACCTATAGCAAACCCGAAATATTGGTTCAGGAGGGGATCCTCCTCCCCCTCCTCCTCCTCCTCCTCCTCCTCCTCCTCCTCCTCCCAAGACTGCCCAAGAAGCTTCCAACCTCGCCCCAAGAGGGCCCCAGAGGCCCCCAGGAGGCCCCCAAGAGACCCAAGAGGACCCCAAAACGGCCCAAGAGACGCCCAAGACGGCCCAATCCCTCGTGGAACAGGCGCTGAAGACGCATTGCTGCGTGTGCAGGCCGATGCGCGCCGAGTGGGTGGACATTGCTCGGATATGTATTTCCAAGATCTGAACGTCACAGGGTCGTGGGTAGAGGCCAAACAAGTAGGAGGGTATCATTTCCGCGCATCGCAAGGCGCAGTCGAGATTCTGCAGCGTGTTGAGTTTGGTGCGGTTCAGTTGGAAGTCGTTCACGGACGTACTGACAGTGGCCACTTGTATCTAAATGTCTACGCGAAGCATTTAGGGCGAGCAGGGTTTGCCGTTGGCGATCTGCTGGGGGAGGACGACCACAACGACGTAATGGTTCCCCCAGCGGCATGTGCGGAGCGCGTGTCTCTTGCGGGTGCCCCAATCGGAAGCACAGGGCCTTGACCCCACTGGGGCCTCGTGCTCGGGTGCTGACAGGGGTGGCCGTGGCCCAGGACGGCCCCAGCTTTTCCCGGGAGGCCCAGGCGGCCTCCAGGGCACCCTGCCCGAGACCTGGAGTGCCCCAAAGAGGCTCCAGCATGTCGTGAAGAGTTGAGGATGCCTTGGGCCGGGAGCACCCGTGACAATGTCCGAGACATGGGGGGGAAGTCTCTTCAACCTTGGCATCGCTGGGACGTGTGCGTTTCTCTCGACGAGGACCATGAGGAACATCTTGGATCATCATGCGAAGATGTACGGGAAACGGACGGCCGAGCGATGGCAAGCAACAGGTGGGGTACCTGTTCACCCGCTGCCTGTCACACGGTGCCGGCCTAGGCGGATCGTTTCATTCCGAGAGGGGCACGGGCGATTTTTTTAGATCGATTCCTCAGGTAAGTTTGCGTTTGCCCTCCTTGCTGGAGTGTTTTCTCTCTTCAGCGAGGGTGTCGGACTTCTTTAACCGCAGTGCAGCGAACGAACCTCGAAGAAAGATGTAGTGTTCTTTGTGTGCAGAGCCTGGCGTAATTTCCTTACGTTGATACTTGTCAAACGTAGTGGGTAGTTTCAAGCGCACCCTCAAGCGTTGCCTCCACTCTTGCTTCCCAGCCTCTCGGGTGTCTCTCTGTCCACGGCCGCCTGTAGTTCCCCAGTACTTCACAATCAGTATGTTGGAGTTCGCTGGCCCTTGGCTCCAACAATGTGCACAGCCAGGCCAAACGCGGCACGGTCTCGACTAATATTCTTTGTGATGTACAGATTCGGCCAAGACGATTGCCTCTCGGGTATGTGTGTTTGTAATATTACGCTTGCGCATTGCGGCACAGGGCAATTGTATTCTCCGCCTTCATCCCGCATCTCCTCCCCTCACCCTCCTCCCTCCACCCTCGCTGTCTGTTCTTTTTGTTTCTGGGGTTCTTTCTCTCTCTCTCTCTCTTTTTCCATCCCCGGTCCTCTCTGTCTCTGTATCTGTCTCTCTCTCTCTCGCTCTCTGTCTCTCCCCTTCTCTCTATATCTACTTTGTACTCCATCACCCCCTTCTTCTCGCTCTCATTCTTATCTTCCTTCCTACCTCCATCACCCTGCTTCTCCTTCTCATCCGTATCATCATCCTCCCTCCCCTCTGTCCCCCTCTACGTTGCCTTTCTTCCTCCATCTCCTGCTCCTTCCATCCTCTTTTTCTTCCCTCCACCCAGATCCATCCTCCTTCCCTCTTCATCATCATCCCTCTGCCCTCCCTCCCTCTTAATTTTCGTCTTCATCGTCCTAAACTCCTTGCCCATCCATGCATTTCTTCCCTTTCTCTCCATTATCCCTCTCGTTTGCCCACCCTTCGCCCAGTGCACCCCGTAAAGATCCGCCCAAGACGGGCATTTGGATCCCTCTCGAGGTTTGTCATGACCTTCTTTCCGAGCCGCGTCTGGCCGCCGCGACGAAGGGAGGAGAGGGGTAGCGACGGGCCCCGCTTCCGTACAGAATCGTCGATCTCGCGCACACGCCAGATCTACGGGTCCACGGATCCGTAATCCATGACCCCGCCCCTCCCAACCTCACGAGGACATCGACATGATGGTCACGACGTCCGCCACCTTCCCAGCCGACTGCGGGCCAGGCCACCCGCGACTCTCGACTCTGCAGCCCTCGGCGTTCACGCCGCCGCCATCGTCGTCGTTGCCGCCGCTGTGGCCGCCGCCGCCACCGCCCAGGAGCGCTTGCCTCGCAGGGACGCGCCGGCGTCGAGCGGAGGGAGGCGGCGCCGGAAGGAGGCACGCGGCACCCGCGTGGTCCCGGCAGTGACGGCGGCCGCGATGTTTCGACAGACGGCGGCGAGGATCGACGACGATCATTGGAGCGAGCTTGAGATCTGCACACGCTCACCGCCCGGGGAGCCAACGTCCCAGGACCCCAGGGGGCGCTGGATGCAGGTCTTCTCGGGCCACTGCTCCCCTGCGGGTCCTGGAACATCGGCTCCTTCGCTGGCAAGTCATGGGAGCCTGGTATGCCCTCTTAGTTCCGTCGTCAGCGCCGATTAGCGTCGATCGGCGCCTGGGAGGCGATGAGATAGCGCCGATTTCGCGTCGATTAGCGTCGATTAGCGTCGATTTAGCGTCGATTCGCAAGAGCCGACAAGATGGTATGATGGGAGGCTCCCATGAGTTGACATCGAAGGCTCCCCAGGCGGTGGAAATGCATAAGTTCTGGCCTCGCAGTCACTGGTGCCGTCATGGCCGACGCCGCTAGCCTCTGTGCGCCAGGACAGGCCCGCGACGGCTTGTCTCTTCTCGATCATGGTTTTCAGTAGCCCGCGTCGGCGATGCATCGCCGGCAAATTTGCGAGAGGCCCCAGATGGCGAAACCGCATGTTCCTGGGCGGGTTGCGGGCTATCGGGCCATATCTGCGATGAAAGGGCGACTCGGGGTCGATGCGTCCCTCCCTGAGACCATTCTCCCGATCGCACTCCCTCAGGCAGGGGGTGGTCACGAAGTCCGTCTGCTTCGTGCAGCTGGTTTCAGCTCCCCCAGTACATGGTCGCCTCCAGGCGCTCAAGAAACCAGCTACTTGCACTGTGTGGAAAGTTCTGGAGGCCACGCGCGGCACACGATGGTTGTACTATCCAGGCTACACGTCCGCCCCGTGAGTTCTGGAATGACGTTTGCGCGGCGATGATCCGACGTGAATCCAACGTGGGTCTCGAGCTGCCGTGCGAGACCTTCAGGATTTTCCCCATGTAGCTGGTTCGACTATCCACCTCACTGATCCTGGCCAGGCCCATCCTGGCCCAGGATCTGTGTATGTTATCTGCCTCCCTGGCCAAGCCACGAGGGCGTATACATCGACTCTGACCCCAGGATGGGCTGGCCTGCATCCGTGCAAGTACACACCTGGCGCCCCTCCCAGGTTATACCCCCCGTCTTCGCCCCCCACCCTCCCCTTCGTCCATCCCAGGTGGTTCAAGAGCGGCGAGCCCCCACCCCCTCCCAGAGCCCTCCAAGGCGGCGCCGCGGACATCGCGCACCCGGAACAGTCGTGCGCCGCGGCGGTGTGGCAGCCTGGGGGCCTCCCGGGGTCGTCCGCGCAGGAGCCGTCCCGCCGGGCACGCCCGCCCCCCCCGAGCTGTGAGAGACGGGGGTCAGTGCAAATAGGGGTCAGCCAGACCGCAGGATCATGATCGTTTTCTTATCCATGGTTTTGCCGATCGGCGCGGGCTCTCGTACCCCCTCCCCCCCTCCCATGGAGTAGATCTTGGCTGTTTTTGGCGCCTGCTTCAAGCAGGTGGAGTCTCCCCCACAGGACGCACTGCTGTAAACAGACGCATTAAGCAGATGTCCGGAGCCAGACCCCCCCCCTTCGCCCCCCCTTCCGTTCAATGTCGAAACGCTGAGTAGGGAAACATTCACCAGAGCGCAGGGTCTTGCAGGATCCTGCAGAGCTAGGGGTGCGCTGACCCGTGCTTGCGCGCAGGATCTTGCGAGATCTTGCAGGATCCTGCAAAGCTTGACTGAGCCGGGCTTGCATTGACCCGGGTCAGTGCGTCCCCGACCCCTCTCCTGTCACAGGCAACGGGGGTCAGCCAACCCCTTCTGGCTGACCCCAGATTTGGTTTCCACGTGGAGCCGATTCCCTTCCCAGCCCTTTGCTGCTGTGCGGCCAGCCGCGCTTCGGCTGACACGGCCGACTGACCCGGCTTACAGACAAGACGTTGAAGTGCGGAACGGTTGTGGTTCTTAAGAGGTTTGATGTTCCTTGGGGCTTTCCTTGGTTGCTCTTTTAGCCCTCCCAGGCGCTTCTGGGGGTCAAGAAGGGGCGTCGTTCTTGATTTAGGGTTCCTTTTGGTAGCACCTTGACTGTAAGTAGCACTTACCTGGAGGCTAGCGCGCCTCTCCTCCTGCCTGCCCAACGGGGCAGACTGCGCGGCTCGCTTGCCACCGATCAAAGAACACGTCAGGGTCAACGATTGGGGGGAGATAGGCATCGGGGGGGCGCTTGCCTCACAGGGACGCGCCGGCGTCGAGCGGGGGGAGGCGGCGCCGGAAGGAGGCACGTGGCACCCGCGTGGTCCCGGCAGTGACGGCGGCCGCGATGTTTCGACACACGGCGGCGAGGATCGACGACGATCATTGGTGCGAGCTTGAGATCTGCACACGCTCATCTCCCGGGGAGCCAATCCCTCAGGGACAAGTATAGGGGGGGCTAAGGCATAGGGGGGAATGCATCGACCCCCAATCGTCCATTGATCGCCGATAGGTGCCCGAAAGCCCCAACCTGGCCAGGAACGTTTGGATTCACAATCAAAAGCCTTTCGCCAATCTATCGGCGATGTATCGCTGATTCCAGGTCGATGTTGCCCCTGCCTATGCCTATCCCTCCTACCGTTGCCCCTCAACAAGATGCGGTACAGACCTGAACTTCTGGAGGGCCGCGCGGATGTATTGGGTCTGGCGCTGGACCACCCCTTGGTGGCGCTTCCGGCGCTGCGCTTGGCACGCTCTGGGGGAGGGGGTCCACCAATCACAGCGCCGACCCAAAATTCCACACTGACCTCCGAAAGATAATGCTCATGCCGTTTGAGGTTTTCTTCCCTTTAGAAAGTCGCACATTGATGAGCGACGCAGAGATAGGATAAAGGTGTCGGCAACACCCAAACATACCTATACTACATGTGCGTCGCCCCCCCAGGGGCGACGCGCGCACCGAGAAATCTTATAGTATATGCGTCGTGGCGGGCGCTTCCTGGCCACACCGCTCGGGAAACGATATACTACAAGATGGGTATACTATATGTTCGGGTCGGACGCGCGCCTCCAAGGAGGACATATAGTATTAGTATGTCCATGTGCGTCCCAAGGTGTGGTTTTTAGTAACTAGGCTCAGACGTACGTAAGGTACAACTGTCCGCCCTTACGGCTGCGGAGGCGGGCGAAGACTCAGTACACATGTGCACGCGCATTGGTTCACAGATGTTTCACGTAATACTCCTACAGCTTGCACGCTCCTCCGCGGAACTACGCTGCGTTAAGATACAAGCTGGCCACGTTGCTCACGACCGGCAAGCAATTCGTCTCAGTTCATTGTCAGATGCCTAATCCTTCAAGTGTTTTTTGACCAGCCGGTCAATCAATTCAGCCTCGCGGCCCGCGTATCCACTAATAATGTTTGCTGCCGCCTCTACCGCGCCGGGTTCGTTCTCCTCCAGGATGGCACGTGCCCAATTCAAACACTGGTCTTATGTGGGCGTCTGCACCGGCAGTTTCGGATCAGCCAGCGGGGTCCGGTCGCCTGCGCCGCGGTCATCAGCAGCAGGCGCGTCTTCTTCCGGACGAGGTGTTTCCGTCTGCGGTGGCGGGGGCATCGCGCGCTCGCTGGCTCTCGCGGCCGACGACGAGCCGCCCGAAGCTCCCTCCTCAAAGCGCCGCATCTCAGAGTTGTCGGCTTGGGAGGCGGTGCCGGCAAAAAGGGTTGCACGAAGCTGTCCAGTTTATCCGCCAACCAATATGCGTTCGCTTGCCACTTGCTCAAGATACGCACACTGCCACGCTGAAGTGGGCACCAGGACACAATAGTTCCGTGATCGTACTGGAACACGTACGCCTTGCTTTGATTAGTGGTGGCCGTTTTCGCACAGATGCCTGATTTGGTGATGGACTTGTCGAGTTCCATGCTGGCCTCCGCCCGGAGAGCCCGCATGACCACGCAGACACCGGATTCTTCCGTTCGCCGCGCCATGGCTGCCTGCACGCGATCTACCAAATTCAGAAGCCGAAGTTTTGGAGCCAAACGTGTTGCGTTCTGACACGTAGTAAGCACATCTTCGCCATTGCGCTCCGTGCCAACACCCCGGACCTTGATTCGGCCATGACACGCAGCTTCTTTGACCCACAAATCGGCCAAGTCTAGGCGGCCAGCAAAAATTGCTGCCACCGGATCCCCTTGTACCTCGTGCTGCTCCTAAACTGCAGTCCCCACGTGCCCCAACACCTCCTTCAACAAATTCCCCATTCCTACCGAGATCCGCCCCGCCCAGGAAACGACCTTGGCGCGCTCACAGCCAAGTTCGTGGGGAGAAGTGTGGAATACGAGTGGCAGGGCGAGTGGGCCACTTGGTCCGAGCTACGCGGCAACCCACTGATCAAGGACCTCGCTAAGAAGTCAGACGACCTCTTCCAGCGTGCATCCCAAGGTCTTAAAGGGAGCGCAAAGGGAGGAGCCAAGGGGCGCGGGCCCCATTAGGAAGTAAGGCGCATGAGCAATGTTTCACCCGTGTCACCGGTAGTCGGCCAAACTGCCAATCTGAACCACGAGTTGATTAGAATTCGTTCTTGTAAACACTTTCCCGCGGCAGCCGGCAATGTTGCTGCCTACCTTTACCTTGCTCCCCAACGTTCCACCAGAGTTGAGCATGCACTTCGTTTTCGCGGGGGCTTCCTTCGTCTTTGTTCTCGGCTGCTCGGGGTGGCGCCCTGGAGCGTGGAGGGCTACACGGACGCAGAGCAGATGGAGTTGGAGTGGCACACGGCTCAGCTCAACATCGACATTTTGTGTATCCAGGAGACTCACGAGGCAGGTTGCGATGATCATGTCTCTGATGGAGGTTTCCTCACCGTTTTCTCCGGCGCCGCCGACGCCGACCAGGAGGAGACGGCCGGAGTTGGTTTCATAGTTGCCCCTCATCTTCGCCATAGCGTGGTTTGATTCAAACAGGAGACAGCACGTATGGCGTACTTGAAGTTACGGGTGGTTGGTGGCAAAGCTGTGGTCTGTAGCGCATATGCCCCGCACAGCGGCAAACTCTTCAAGACCGGCAGGCCTTCTACAGCAACCTCAGTGGTTTCCTGTCTGGTGTATCTTCGCATGGCCCATGCTGGGTCCTGGGAGACTTCAATGCTCGGCTTCAACGTCGTTTCCCGCAGGAGGAGGGCATCATGGGGCACCATGTGTTTGGCAACCCCGCGGCTGTGTACAATCCGTCTTCCAACCGGAGTCTGCTAGCAGAGCTTTGTTCCAGACACAAGACGTTCATTGGCAACACAGCCTTCTTGTTCCAGACACAGACGTTCACCGGCAGATCATGCGTTATAACAATGGGAAGAAGCCGTCTGACGCCCCCACGCCAGATAATTTTGGACAGATCTACTTTGTTGATGTCAAAGGATTGGTTGGGCAGTCTGAAATACATTACATGTGACCGGCGGCGTGCTTTGGCGTCGCGCCATTTCTGGCCCACGCAGATCAAGACGCGCAGGTCCCAAAGTCGCGACAACAGCCAACTCCCCGACGCGACCTGCGCGCCCTCCGCCCCCCTGGGACATCTAACCGGTTCGCCGTTGCATTCGCCGATCGCACAGAGGAGTTGGGAAGCAGCGTGCCGGTGTCGACGGCATCCGACATTGACGCTCTCATGAAAGAGTCGTTCTCCACGGCTGCGATGGCGACCCCTGCCCGGACGGCGACGCCGCGGAGGCCGCGGGTCTCTGACCGCGCAATGGACATCGCCAAAACACGCACAGATGCCAGGCACCGCGGGGACGTGGACACAGAGAGATTGTTGAATCAGCAAGTGAAGGCGTCTGCGAAGAGAGACCGTGCAGAGTGGTTGAGACGTCTTCTCGCCACTGGAGACTGGGGGCAAATTCGCAAATTGCGGGAGGCGTTTGCGCCTCGGCAAGGGCGGGCGCGAGACATGCACGGCAAGCTTATTGATTCAGATTCCCGTCAAGATACAATGGCTGATTACCTCGGCAGCGCGTTGTGGGCGGCGCGAGACACAACGCCCATGCAGGCAAACATGCTGGGGCCCTCGCCCCCCGCGGAAGTCGGGCCCGTTCATGACTGGGAAGTCGCTGAGGCCGCAAAGGCCATGAGACGGGGAAAAGCTTGCGGATCAGACGAAGTTCCTGTAGATCTTTGGAAGGCAATATGTCGCCCGGGCTTGCCGGCGCAAGCTTGGGCCACCGTGCTACGCCAGATATCCTGGGAAGACGGTGACGTCCCAGAAAGCTGGCACGAGTCGCTGGCGATCACCATCTGCCTGGAGGGCGACCCTTCTTTGCGCGAGAACTACCGGCCCATCTGCTCGCTGCA